CACCCCATGGATGGTTCCTCCCCCTGACACCTGCCAGGCGGCCCCCACTGGATTATCCACTTCTGGCCTCTGTCACATATAACGTGAGATGTTGTCTCAGAAAACACCGGGGGTGGGGTGTCTGGGTGGCTCAGTGGGTTAAGCCTCTGCCTTCGGCTTAGGTCATGATCCCAGGGTCCTGGGATCGAGCCCCACATTGGGCTCTCTGCTCCACGGGGAGCCTGCTTCCTCCTCTCTCTCTGTCTGCCCCTCTGCCTACTACTTGTGATCTCTGTCAAATAAATAAATAAAATCTTAAAATAATAATAATAATAATAATAATAATAATAATGTGTGGTTAAGTGTATGGGTGCCGAGAAGAGGGCCTAACCCAGACTGGAGAGATAGCTTCACAGAAGGCGTGGCCGTTGTAGGAAGTGGGCTAGCCACAAACCACATATGGCTTTTAAACTTTAATTAAATATTGAAAATTCAGGTTCCACTAGCCCCCTTTCAAGGACTCAGTAGCTACATGTGTATTACAGAGCATTTCCATCACCGTAGAAAGTTCTATTGGCAGATGCTGGTCTAGGTTGAGGGTGACAAAAGGGGAGTTGTCCAGGATTGGGGGAGGGGACAAAGAATGTCCCCAGAAGTCCCTGTATATACAGAATAGCCTTCAGATACTGAACACAGTACAGCTGCTGTGGGAAATGTCCAGGCCAGTTCGTGCTGTGCCTTGTCGGTCATCATGAGTGCTCTGCTAATGACAACGGGGTGGGGGGTGGGGGGTGGGGGAAGCTGCTGGAGCTTTCAGCCAGGTGAGAAGAGTCATCAGGTGTGAGTTTGAGACAATGGGTCGGAGGAGGACCCATCAGGAGAGAGTCCCATTCCTCTAGAATCCTGGACCAGCCAAAGTGGTAGCGATGTGGGTGAAGAGAGATTTAGGGCTTATGGGTGACAGATTGGGGATTGTTGTTCGTGAGGAAGAAGGGAGCCAAGCTTAGGGCTTGTGTTCTGTGGTTGGTGTTAACAGTTCCCTTCGTGTGGTGTGGAATCTGAGGAAGAGGATGAGAAACTGTTTTTTTTTTCAGTGTTGGTACTTAAGTGAGTGGGCTTCAGTGATCCGGAGGCCCTTGTTCCTCAATAATACCCTCTCTGTGGCTCACCACAGACCACACTAGAGAGAACACGAGGGCTTTGAGCCTGGGGGATTCCTGGGGGCAACCGTGGGCAGCTCTGTGGCTCCCGAGTGGGCAGGAGAAGGGGGGGTGACAAAAGCCTGTTGGTCCCCTTTCTTTTTCAACCATTCCTCTGATCGTTCACACTGTCCCTCACTCCAGAATGGCTCCCCGCTCCCACTGAGGTCAAAGTGCCCCATAAAACAGCTCCACTCAACATGGCCTGTTTGTTTGGGATGTCTGTTCCTTCTGTTTCTGCTCCCATAACTTTTTAAAAAAGATTTCATTTATTTATTTGACAGACATCACAAGCAGGCAGAGAGGCAGGCAGAGAGTGAGAGGGAAGCGGGCTCCCCGCTGAGCAGAGAGCCCAATGTGGGGCTCCATCCCAGGACCCTGAGATCATGACCTGAGCTGAAGGCAGAGGCTTTAACCCACTGAGCCACCCAGGCGCCCCTGCTCCCACAAATCTTAACAGCTCTCCCCTCATTCACAAAGCTCGGGTGGACCAGTTCTATTTTTTTTTTTCAAAACACATTTTAAAGTAAAGTTGTAGCTACAAAGTCAAAATATATGTGTATATTACACTGGCTTATCCACAGTAACCTCACATATCATTTGTGGTGTGTCTACTACGTTTTGAAAAATACTACCTCAACCTGCTTATTCAATGTGCTTTTTAAAATTGTTATTTATGTAGCTGTCTTATTTTCCCTAGTAAACACCAAGCTCCAGACAGCGAATAATATCGTCCTCACTTGGAGGATCCTAAAACATCTAGCAAAAACATCTTCCAGATTTGCTGAATATGCATTCTTGAATCAGTAAAGCCTCAATCTGCATCAGGCACTGTGATCAGGAGCTGGGAGTAAAAATAAGATCAGTAATAAAATTTGGGTTTGAATTTTTTAAGACTATTTTATTTTTTAAAGATTTTATTTATTTATTTGACACAGAGAGAGAGAAAGAGAGAGAGAGTACAAACAGGGGGAACAGCAGAGAGAGAAGCAGGCTCCCTGCTGAGCAGAGAGCCCGATGCAAGACTCGATCCCGGGACTTGATCCCGGGACCCGGAGATCATAACCTGAACCAAATGCAGATGCTTAACCCACTGAGCCACCCAGGCACCCCAGACTACTACTTCTTCTTCTTCTCCTTCTTCCTTTTTTTTTTTTAAATAGAGGTTTTAGGTTCACAGCACAATTGAGGGGAAGGTACAGAGAGTTCACAAATACTCCTTGCGCCACACATGCACAGCCTCCCATATTACCAATAGCAGGTTTTCAGGGAAACGGAAACCTTTCTTCCTTAAGCCTCTGCCTTCCAGGGAATTCTGCAGTCAAAGAGAAAGAGAAGGTAGGACTTGGCAAGAAGGTGGAAAAAGAAAGCACGTGTTAGTCATTTGAGAAGAGGGAAGCACTCGTGTTTACACGAATCTTGACAGTGTCTGCTCACACAGAATGAGGAATATGTTCCATTGGTTGAAAAATCCAGCCTGACCATATTAAGGAATTCACCAAGAACATAGTCTTTGTCTCCCAAGGGCTTCTTGGATTAATGGGGGAGCTAAATGGACATGTTCAATGGACACATTTATTTATATTAGAAGTTATGAGGCTGAAGGGTGAGGAGAAAAGGTAGCAGGATGACATTGGAAAGGCAGTGGGGGAACCATCTGTGAAGGACCTTGCCTATCAGTCTGAGGAATGTGACCTTCAGCCTAGAGCAGAGGCGGCAAACTTAAAATCCCACAGAGATCAGGTACGAAAATGAGTGAAGCCCAGCAGGTAATAGGGAGTGGTGGGGATTGGGGCAAAATGGAGAATGCTTACCCTGTCTCAGGGGAACAGCTACTCTCAGCTCCAGCTGATTGTTACTACGTGGGATTGTTGGCCCAGAACAGCTAGATCTTCCAGTTAAAAAAAAAAAAAAAAAAAAAAAAAGTTCGGGAAACCCAGGTTTTTAAAACATGTGGCCCAGGGGCACCTGGGTGGCTCAGTGGGTTAAAGCCTCTGCCTTCGGCTCAGGTCATGATCCCGGGGTCATGGGATCGAGCCCCGCGTCGGGCTCTCTGCTGGGCGGGGAGCCTGCTTCCCCCCCCCCCCCCCCCCCCCGCTCTCTCTTCCTGCCTCTCTGCCTGCTTGTGATCTCTGTCTGTCAAATAAATAAATAAAATCTTAAAAAACAAAAACAAAAACAAACAAAAAAAACATGTGGCCCAAATCCAACTGGCATTAGAACGCAGAATGGCTTACAGGCCATATAGCGATCACTGCGATAGCTTACAAGGAGCGAATGGAGGGGTTTTGTTTTTTGTTTTTTGTTTTTTAAAGGATATGATCCCATCTGTGCTTTAGAAAAATCACATGGTGATGTGGGAGAGGAATTAAAGGGAATAGATTAGAGGAAAGGAAACCAGCCGGGAAACTTTCTCAATAGTTTCCACAGGTGAGAGGCGGCAGCAGTCATGGTGGGGTGGGGGGAATGTCATTGGGCTGATTTGGAGTCCAGGATTCAGTGGGAAGACCTTTGCTATAATCAGCATCTGAAAAGGGGCTCCTGGGTACCTCAGTCCCTTAAGAATCTGCCTTCAGTTCAGGTCATCATCTCGAGGTACTGGGATCCAACCCTGCATTGGGCTCCTTTCTCAGTAGGGAGCCTGCTTCACCCTCTCCCTCTGCCACTCCCCCTGCTTGTGCTCTCTCTCTGTCAAATAAATAAATAAAATCTTAAAAAAAAAATCGTCATCTGGAAGAAGGAGTATATGCATTTTCTCAATGCATTTCCTGCCCCCGCACCCCTTTCCTAAGCTGGGAGCTGAAAGGCCCAGGGCAGACAGATCACCTCTAAAGCCAGAGGAGAGGAAGTTTTAGCAAAGGCTCTGCTCTTGGGTGCAGTCTAATTTTACCCGTGATTATTTTAGAGATAGACTCCTTGACTAACTGCCCAACCCTCACTCACACCACCAATGGGCTCTGCACGTAGTTAAAATTAAAAGCGTATCTATCATTTGGTATTTGGCTTTTTTGAACAGCCAGGGGGAAACTCAGAGCCAAATCCTCTTTTGCAAACAGCAGAGAGAGGAACTGGGTCCCTAAGAGGCAGTTGCTTGGAGGTAGACACGGGAGAGGTGGCTTCGGATCCATTGCATGGTCTTGCTGGTTGACCCAGGGAAGGACGCAAAAGGCAGGAGTCATGAATGGAGGGCAGGAAAGCAGATGCATTTCGCAGAATTTTTCTAACACCCAACAAGTGCTGTTTTCAGAGCTTTTTTTTTTTTCCCCTCCACAGACCCTTCTGAGTTTTGAGAGCCGTATTTTTGGGTGTGGGCAGAGGAAATGGCCCTGAGGAGCTGTGGACGGAGCAGAGCCTCCCCCCTCGGGCACCGCCCGGGGGAGAGCCCCATGGGATGGGGAGAGGACGGGGCAGTCAGGCTAAAGGTTAGGGGAGGAAAGCAAAGGCAGAGGCCCAGAACGGCTCCAGGAAATGTTTGTATTTCTCCACCGGGAGGGAGGACAAACAAGCTTTTCTCGTGCCTTCTGGGCAGCTTTGCACGCTCCCCAGCACAGGAGTCTGCACAGCCGGAGTGGGGCTGGAAAGAAAAACCGTCCTGGGGCTGGACCCAGCGCCCGCTCTAGGGCATGAATCTCCCCAGACCCGCCGGCCGCTCCCCAGAAATGACCACTTGCCTGTCAAAGCCCGGCTGTGCTCCGTGCTTCACCTGCAGGGGAGACAGGTAGCGTGGGACAGCCTGCCCAGAAGGGGCCTCTGGGAGTCTCTCATCTCCTGGCTGAAGTCCAAGGTCGCCTAGCGGTGGCTGCGTCCACCCACACGTGCAGTCGGGACCCGCGGAGGCCAGGGGTGAAGGAGTCAGAAAACCAGCGGCCGGGTGAGTGGGTGGCATTCAGGGAGCATCTGTGTCTTTGCGGGGGGAGGCTCCCGGGGCCACCCGGCCCGTCCTCTGTCCACCATGGACAACAGCTCGTGCTGCCTCATCGAGGGGAACCCCATCTCTCAGGTGATGCCGCCGCTGCTGATCCTGGCCTTCGTGCTTGGCGCGCTGGGCAACGGTGTCGCCCTGTGTGGTTTCTGCTTTTACATGAAGACCTGGAAGCCGAGCACCATTTACCTTTTCAACTTGGCCGTGGCCGACTTCCTTCTCATGATCTGCCTGCCCTTCCGGACGGACTACTACTGGAGACACAGGCAGTGGGCCTTCGAGGACATCCCGTGTCGGGTGGCCCTCTTCATGCTGGCCATGAACAGGGCGGGGAGCATCCTCTTCCTCACAGTGGTGGCCGTGGACAGGTACTTCAAAGTGGTCCACCCCCACCACGCGGTGAACGCCATCTCCAACCGGACCGCAGCTGGCATCGTCTGTGCCCTTTGGGCCATGGTCATCCTGGGCACTATCTATCTTTTGATGGAGAACCATCTGTGTGTGGATGAGAAGACCATATCCTGTGAGAGCTTCATCATGGAGTCGGCCAACGGCTGGCACGACATCATGTTCCAGCTGGAGTTTTTCCTGCCCCTCACCATCATCCTCTTCTGCTCCTTCAAGATCGTTTGGAGCCTGAGGCAGAGGCGGCGGCTGGCCAGGCAGACCCGGATGAAGAAGGCCACCCGGTTCATCATGGTGGTGGCCGTGGTGTTCGTCACGTGTTACCTGCCCAGCGTGTCGGCCAGACTCTACTTCCTCTGGACGGTGCCCTCGAGCGCCTGCGACCCCTCTGTCCACGTAGCCCTCCACGTCACCCTCAGCTTCACCTACCTGAACAGCATGCTGGACCCCCTGGTGTATTATTTTTCGAGTCCCTCGTTCCCCAAGTTCTACACCAAGCTCAAAATCCGCAGCTTGAGACCCAAGAGGCCAGGACGCTCCGAGACCCAGAGCCCGGAAGAGATGCCAATTTCAAGCCTCTGTCGCAAGAGTTGTGTCAGCGTGGCCAACAGCGTCCAGAGCCAATCCAACGGGCAGTAAGATCTCCAAATGTGCGGGATGACCCTGAAACAGGCAGACAGACAAAACCAGGGAGGACAGACCAATGACCTAGAAAGTGTTTGTGCTAAGGGGCTGAAAGGCTTTTGAAAATACCGCCCGCCCTTAGCTGTATCCTCTCGCTCTGTCTGGAAATGGAATGCAGGTTACTATGCCTTTTTGGAAGGTTCCAATTGAGGAGTGAGTCAGTTGCCTTTCTATGACCCGACTGCAATGACGGGACAAGATGGGCATGAAATGGGGCATGTGTGTATCGGGTGGGGCGATGGGAAGAGCTCGGCTCCTGTGTGGTTTGAAACGGCTGAGTAAACGGCGTCAGCGTGGAAACCAGTCATGTTCTCTCTCTAGGGGAGTCGGGAAACTTAATGACTTAGCGGTATTTCCTAACCTCTGACCTTACATCGTTACTCGTTTTAGAAAGCAGACACCAGAGTAAGTCAATATTTCAGGCTGAGTGAGGCTCATTAGAGGGGATGTCTTGACCCTGGTGACTGTCATCCTCACAGGGCCCCTGGGTAGAGTTCTGATTTCTGGGTAGCCCGGGAAGATCTGCTCTGACCTTCTCAGAGCTCCACATTTTTCTGCAAGTCTTTGCATTTCAAAGAAGGTCCTGGGGGCTGTGTTTACCTGCCCTCATTTTTCCGGTGGTGGGGGGGGTGGGTAGCTGAGTGCTTGGAAAAAGTCCCGCTGGCCTTTGGGAAGTGCTGAGTTCAGTGTGATTGTTTTGGCCACTTGTTACAGGACTGTGAGTTGAGATTACTTATTCATTCATTCTCCAAGTGTCTGCTGAACGCATATTCTGTGCTGAGCACCTGCTAGTATCCCTTTTACCTGGGGGTTCCTTAGTCAATTCCTGTGTGACCGTGACCGCTAAGTATTCGGGGGGAGGGCAGACAGTTTAACCCTCTCACCCTCTCGGTAAATATAGTTTCTAGACCATGTTCGTGGCAAACATCAGTGTATTCCTCTTGATGATTCTATGGACTGAAAAGCTGCCTCTACCCTGTATTAGGGGGAGGGCGTCCAAACCAATCCTTGCTTTGTTCTCAAGCCACAAGAGTGCTGAAAATCGCTCTTGGCTCTTTGGTTTACATTTCTCAGATTTCCAGAGTACTCTGCAGCAGATAACCTTCCCAGCTTTTAGTTCTCTGGGCCTCTAAACACTCCTTTCGGCTGTCTTTTTAATTTTGTTTTGCAGAGGAACCTCACAGCCCAGCGAGGAAAAGTATGGGCTCTGGAAAGTCCGACAAAGCTAACTTTGAATCCCAGCTCGACCGCTGACTAGGTGTGTGATCTGGGGGAAGGTTTTATTTCAACACTCAGCTTCCATTTCCTCATATGTGAAACAGAAGGAACAAGAGTGCGGATTTCAAGAGATTGGTGGGCAGATTCCAGGAACGTGAGCTCCCGAAGCGTAGGGGTTCTGTTCACTGTTCCGTCCTCCCCAGGGCCTAGAAGTGTGCCCGCGCATAGTAGGTGCTCCATAAATATCTGAATGAATAATCATGAGTAGGTAGAGCATGAAGCTTTGTGCCTGGCAGGAGAGAATGTGATGACTTATGACATCCATGCAGTTTGGATACAAAGTTGCTGAGGCATAAAGCCCGTTTCCCTTGGGGTTCAGAGTCCCCTATTAGTTGCTCTGTCATCATTACCTGAATTGCCCTGCTCCCCAGCTGCCTGGGGAGGAGGGAAAGCAGGATTCTTACACGCTCATATTCTTATACGCTTATATTCTTATATGCTCCTGAAAGAAATCTGTGGAAGCCCACGCTTCTGCTTTGGGTCCTATCCCTGCTCATGATTCTTTCCCGGACGGCTCCTCCTTTTTCGCTTCATGTGAATAAAACCAGTTTCCAAAACAAGGCCTTGTTCTTGCTATCTGTGATTCCTAAGACTTTACCCTTCCAGGAAAAAAGTATAAAAAAATCCAGAAGCTCAGGGCAGGCAGAGGTTCTCATGAAAAAAACAGCAAGAACAAACAAAAAAGGGGGAAAAAAAAAGAAAAACCCAAACACAGCTTAGGCTCTGCTTTCGCCTCTTTTTTTAAATTCACAGAATGTCAGGAAAGAAAATCTTGTCAAGGGTTCTTCAGAAACTGTAAGGACGAGGATTACAGTTTTGTTTGAGTCAACACAGGACTCTTTTGGGCTCATCCATGAAGCTGGGGCCCTAAATTTTATCTATGCATTTACACACACACACACACAAACACATATGGGTTGAGATGGAGTAGAACAGATGGGCTCCCATAGGGACCTAAATATTCACCTTCCAGTGATGACACGGTAGGAGCGGGAAGAGGTTAATATTTTATCCCTTGAAAAAGATTCATTCATTTATTCATTCTGTCTTTCAAGGAACATATAATGGGCACCTGCTCTGTGCCAGGCACAGTAGAAACACGGCCCCTGATTGTGGTTTCTATTGTAGAAATCAAGGGAAAAATCCAATCACCCTTCAGAGTAGTCAAATGAAAGTGGTAAGCCTAGATGCTGGCTTCACCCTGACCTTGGGGGGTTGGGGAGGGCTTCTCAGAGGAAGTGACTCCTGAACTTACCCCTGAAAACCTTCAGACAACCAGATGACTCAGTGGGGAAGGGTATCCCAGCGAGAGAGGGTGTGGTGAGAAAGGTCACTTGGGAGCTGCTGGAAGGTTAATAGGAAAAGAATGAAAAGTCCTGGGGGGCTCCGAGGCAATCTGGGAAGGGGTGAAACCATGAGATCCACTGGGGAGAGAAGGTCTGTTCACAAATCTTTTTTTTTTTTTTTTTTTTTTTTTCTTTTAGAGAGGGATTGAGGGAGGGGCCGTGGGAGAGGGAGAGAGAAATTCAAGGAGACTCCCTGCTGAGTGTGAAGCCCCACGTGGGGCTCCATCTCACAACCTGAGATCACAACCTGAGCTGAAACCAACCCAGCCACCCAGGTGCCCCTCACACCTTTTCTTGCTGGAAGATTCATGACTAGCCTTTCAGATTCGTTGCTTTTCAAAAAAGAGCGAAATTTCTTTAATTATCAAAGGCAGATTATGTTTTTGACCAGAATTAAAAGAATATACAGGGGCACCTGGGTGGCTCAGTGGGTTAAAGCTTCTGCCTTCGGCTCAGGTCATGATCCCAGGCTCCTAGGATCGAGCCCCACAGTGGGATCTCTGCTCAGCGGGGAGCCTGCTCCCCTCCACCTCAGCCTGTCTCTCTGCCTACTTGTGATCTCTCCCTCTCTGTCAAATAAATAAATAAAATCTTTTTTATAAAAAAAGAATGTGCAAATACATAAAGAAGTTAAAGTCTTCCTTCCATTCCCCTTAATCTCATTGGCTAGAGCTGAAGACTCTTGGAACAAATGATAGATCTCTTTGGGGGTATACACACACTTGCACAGAGATGACGAATCTCGTTTTGTTCTGCTGAAGCTGGATACATAGAGAGACAGTTTTGCAAAGTATTTTCATCATGAATAGCTTCCTACAGCAGAACAGAGATCAAACTCATGGTTTTTAACTTTATTTCATTGTATAAACAAACCACATATGGTTTACTTAACCAATGGCTATTTATTTATTTATTCATTCATTCATTTATTTAAAGGTTTATTTATTTATTTGAGAGAGGGAGAGAGAGAGTGCAGGGGGAGGGCAGAAGGAGAGGAAGGAGAGAAGCCTAAATCGGCTTCCTGCTGAGCGTGGAGCCTGACTCAGGGCTGGATCCAGCACCCTGAGATCACCACCTGGGCAGAAACCAAGAGTCAGAAGCACAACTGACATCGCTGGGCTGAGAGCATAGACCCTGGAGACCGAACATCTGGGTTCAAATCCTATCTCCTTTACTTACTAGCTGTGTGGCCTCAGGCAAGTTACTCAACCTCTCAATGCTTTACTTTCCTTGTCTATAAAATGGGGACAAGAATAGTACCTGCCCATAGGGTTGTCAGTACTAAATGAATTTAGATAAATAAAGCACCTAGAATAGTCTGGACTGAGCCCAGAGTCCCCTCCCTGGTCAGCTGGGAGCCTGTTTCTCCCTCTCCCTGCTACCCCCTGCCCACTCTCACTCTCTATCTCTCTCAAATAAATAAATACATAAATAAATAATTTTTAAAAGATTTTATTGATTTATTTGACAGACAGAGATCACAAGTAGGCAGAGAGGCAGGCAGAGAGAGAGAGAGAGAGAGGGGGAAGCAGGCTCCCTGCTGAGCAGAGTGCCTGATGTGGGGCTCGATCCCAGGATCCTGGGATCATGACCTGAGCCGAAGGCAGAGGCTTTAACCCACTGAGCCACCCAGGCACCCCAATAAATAAAAAAATTTTTTAAAGATTTTATTTATTTATTTGAGAGAAAGAGAGTGCTCAAGCATGCACAGGACTGGGGGTGGGGGGGCTAAGGGAGAGAGAGAAGCAGGCTCCCTGCTGAGCAGGGGCTAGCAGGAGGAGACTCTGGGCTCTATGACTCTTTTTAACGCACAGAATGTACTGAAAGTGAGGTTTCCCAGGCCAGGCAGTAAGAAGTTTTGCCTGTCTGGGAAGCCTTGTGAGAAGTCCAGTGCACCCCGTAGAAAGAACACTCGAGGAGGCCACATCGGCAGATACAAGACTACAGGGAATGGCGGGAAGGCCGGGCCCCCAGACAAGAGCTGGCCAGCTGAGCCCAGTCAACTCATAGGATCAGGAAAGATAATAAAACCGTGGTTGTTTTAAGCCACTGAATTTTGTGGTGGTTTGTCACACGGCAATGGATAACTAAAACAGAAATCCCAGCTAAGTCCAAACATGAAGAGTCGATTACTTAACCTCAACCTTGGTTTTCTAATCTGTAAAATGGAGATAATGGTGAGGATAATCACAGAATATCACTCACAGGGTTTTCGTGAGGATTAAACGAGATCATATATGCAAATCTCTTAGCACAATACCTGGCACAAAGCAGACAGTTGATAAATGATAGCATTTTTTGGTTAAGATTTTATTTTTAAGTCATCTCTAC